CACTACTAGCACGGTACACTACCAGAAAGATACACTACCATCACGGTACACTACTAGCAAGGTACACTACCAGCAAGGTACACTACTAGCAAGGTACACTACTATCACGGTACACTACTAGCAAGGTACACTACTAACACGGTACACTACTAGCACGGTACACTACTAACAAGGTACACTACTAGCAAGGTACACTACTATCACGGTACACTACTAGCAAGGTACACTACTATCACGGTACACTACTAGCACGGTACACTACTAACAAGGTACACTATCACGGTACACTACTAGCAAGGTACACTACTAACACGGTACACTACTAGCAAGGTACACTACTAACACGGTACACTACTAGCAAGGTACACTACTAGCAAGGTACACTACCATCACGGTACACTACTAGCAAGGTACACTACTAGCAGGGTACACTACCATCACGGTACACTACTAGCAAGGTACACTACTAGCAAGGTATACTACTAACACGGTACACTACTAGCAAGATACACTACTAACAAGGTACACTACTATCACGGTACACTACTAGCAAGGTACACTACCAGCAAGGTACACTACCAGCAAGGTACACTACCATCAAGGTTCACTACTACCACGGTACACTACCAGCAAGGTACACTACTACCATGGTACACTACTACCATGGTACACTACTAGCAAGGTACACTACTATCACGGTACACTACTACCAAGGTACACTAGCAAGGTACACTACTACCATGGTACAGTACTAACAAGGTACACTACTAACATGGTACACTACTAGCAAGGTACACTACCATCAAGGTACACTACTATCACGGTACACTACTAGCAAGGTACACTACCAGCAAGGTACACTGCCAGCAAGGTACACTACTAACACGATACACTACTAGTACGGTACACTACTAGCAAGGTACACTACTAGCACGGTACACTGCCAGCAAGGTACACTACTTTCACGGTACACTACTAGCAAGGTACACTACCAGCAAGGTACACTACTAGCACGGAACACTATTAGCACGGTACACTACCAGCAAGGTACACTAGCATGGTACACTACTAGCAAGGTACACTACAAGCACGGTACACTACCAGCACGGTACACTACCAGTAAGGTACACTACCAGTAAGGTACACTACTAGCAAGGTACACTACCACCAAGGTACACTACCACCAAGGTACACTACTAGCAAGGTACACTACCAGCAAGGTACAGTACTAGCATGGTACACTACTAGCAAGGTACACTACCATCAAGGTACACTACTATCACGGTACACTACTAGCAAGGTACACTACCAGCACGGTACACTACCAGCAAGGTACAGTACTAGCATGGTACACTACTAGCAAGGTACACTACTAGCAAGGTACACTACCATCAAGGTACACTACTATCACGGTACACTACTAGCACGGTACACTACTAGCAAGATAGTGTACCTTGCTAGTAGTGTACCGTGGTAGTAGTGTACCTTGCTAGTAGTGTACCTTGCTAGTAGTGTACCGTGCTAGTAGTGTACCTTGCTAGTAGTGCACCGTGATGGTAGTGTACATTGCTAGTAGTGTACCTTGCTAGTAGTGTACCATGCTACTAATGTACCTTGATGGTAGTGTACCTTACTAGTAGTGTACCTTACTAGTAGTGTACCGTGCTAGTAGTGTACCCACACATCAACAACCCTTTTACCACCAGTATTTACCCAGGTCTTTCGTAAATCTAAATTTCTCTCATTTACATCTACTGCTTCACAACCTGTCTTGGATTGATATATTTACCACCTGATTAATGTCCTTGTTGTTCTCTTTCATCCATGTTGTTCCTGTTCCCTTGTGGCATCTTCTTATCTTGAGGTTATCTTGAGATGATTTCGGGGCTTTTTAGTGTCCCCGCGGCCCGGTCCTCGACCAGGCCTCCACCCCCAGGAAGCAGCCCGTGACAGCTGACTAACACCCAGGTACCTATTTTACTGCTAGGTAACAGGGGCATAGGGTGAAAGAAACTCTGCCCATTGTTTCTCGCCGGCGCCTGGGATCGAACCCAGGACCACAGGATCACAAGTCCCGCGTGCTGTCCGCTCGGCCGACCGACTCCCCTCATATTTGGCTAATTAAAATAAATCAAATATATATTTTTATTAAGTAGTTATAAAAAACAATACAAGTAGTAATGGCTGACACAGTGGATCCTGGCAGCCACAACGAAGCCCACACAGCCAAGGATGCCCAACCGCTTCCCACCCTCCTCTAACCACTGCTATTTACAACAAACACAACAAATCCAAATTATAAATGTGTTAATTCTACGTCTACTGAGAGAGGGCGTGGCGCCCCCCTGGCTTGGCCGCGCTGGAGTGGCGCCCCCTGCCTTGGCCGCGCTGGTGTGGCGCCCCCTGGCTTGGCCGCGGTGGTGTGGCGCCCCCTGGCTTGGCCGCGGTGGTGTGGCGCCCCCTGGCTTGGCCGCGGTGGTGTGGCGCCCCCTGGCTTGGCCGCGGTGGTGTGGCGCCCTAGGCTTGGCCGCGCTGGTGTGGCGCCCCCTGGCTTGGCCGCGCTGGAGTGGCGCCCCCTGGCTTGGCCGCGGTGGTGTGGCGCCCCCTGGCTTGGCCGCGCTGGTGTGGCGCCCCCTGGCTTGGCCGCGGTGGTGTGGCGCCCCCTGGCTTGGCCGCGCTGGTGTGGCGCCCCCTGGCTTGGCCGCGCTGGTGTGGCGCCCCCTGGCTTGGCCGCGCTGGAGTGGCGCCCCCTGGCTTGGCCGCGCTGGTGTGGCGCCCCCTGGCTTGGCCGCGCTGGAGTGGCGCCCCCTGGCTTGGCCGCGCTGGCGTGGCGCCCCCTGGCTTGGCCGCGGTGGTGTGGCGCCCTAGGCTTGGCCGCGCTGGTGTGGCGCCCCCTGGCTTGGCCGCGCTGGAGTGGCGCCCCCTGGCTTGGCCGCGCTGGTGTAGCTGATTAAACTCAGCATAAGGATCACTGAACATTACCGACACAAAGTCGTGACCAGTTGACTGACAGTTGAGAGGCGGGACCAAAGAGCCAGAGCTCAACCCCCGCAAGCACAACTAGGTGAGTACGGTTGAAGTGGACAAGATAAATTATACTTTAATAAGTGTACTTTTTGTTTAACACGTGGGCGCTTTATTGCACACTTGACCTGGCACTTACGAGCTATCATAAACTTAATGGGTAGGAACGGGTTGAAACACTATACCAGCAAACACAATATAATTACGTCATTACTAGTCTTTCCCTTATTACTACGTCTAAAAAACGTAGTTACAATGTGTGCTGAGTATAGGCAGTATAACATATCTAGAAATTAATATTCAGTGAACACTAAATACTTCTAAAGTGTGTTAAAGCGGCTGCGGCCTCCAGAACATTGATGTACATAATCTTAGGCTTATTGTCAATGAAATATAAAACTACAAAACTCTTTCATGTGCTAAATACAGAACACAAGTGTTCTCGCACTAATGTTAACCTCGTGTCTCTTACCTACAGAGAGACCAGACTATACATGTTTCGTGGTGGGAAGGGAGGGGAAATTATCAGGAGGGAAAGCGCCTAGCCATTTCGACTATATAGCACTTCGGAGGGGGGTTAGGATCAGGATTTGGGATGGGTCGGGGGGAAGGAATGGTGCCCCAAGTACTTGGACTGTCGGGGATTGAACGCCGACCTGCATGAAGCGTCGCTCTACCCTCCACCCCAAGTGGTTGTCTCATGGAGCATCTTCCAGTTTCCATACGAAGTATCACGAGCCCCAGCAAGCAGAGTATGCTGCATGATGCCCAGTGGAAATGTGCCATGTTAATCCATTCATGTTATTCACTGGCAAGCAGGCTTGGAGCGTCGCTGCCATTGACAGGTATAGCTCGCTAATTCTCCCTTCCGGAGACCCCATATTCCTTCAGCTTGTCCGGGAAGTTAACCCACGCAGGAGATCACAGCCAAGCTGAATTTTTATACCTGGATTTAATATCTAGATTGGCGGTACTGGTGTGAGGTGGGGCCGTGCCAGGTGTGGGAGGTCGTGTGGTCGGGCCGGCCGCTGGAGGTATGAAGGGTCTCGACGCGTTACTGGCTCAGTAACGCGTCGTACAGGACGACGCACCCGAGTCTCTCTTCCGACTCCACTCACATTTCTCGTCAGTTGCCTCTCGTGGAGTCTGGTGTCCAGTGAGGGTGTGAGGGAGGCGGAGGCTGGAGGCTGATCTTGTGTGGGCAGTGTCGTGTCTCCAGCGGCGCTATCACTGTGAGTGGCAGTGTCCGATCACCAGCGGCGCTATCACTGTGGGTGGCAGTGTCCGATCACCAGCGGCGCTATCACTGTGGGTGGCAGTGTCCGGTCACCAGCGCTGCAATCACTGTAAGTGGCAGTGTCCGGTCACCAGCGCCGCTATCACTGTAAGTGGCAGTGTCCGGTCACCAGCGCCGCTATCACTAAGTGGCAGTGTCCGGTCACCAGCGCTGCTATCACTAAGTGGCAGTGTCCGGTCACCAGCGCTGCTATCACTAAGTGGCAGTGTCCGGTCACCAGCGCTGCTATCACTGTAAGTGGCAGTGTCCGGTCACCAGCGCCGATATCACTGGGTGGCAGTGTGTCCGGTCACCAGCGCTGCTATCCCTATGCGTCACAAAGCATCCGGTCACCAGCTCTGCCATTAGTGCGGGTCATGGTGTATCCGGTCAATAGTTCCGCTGTCAGCGTGCATTACGGAGTGTCAGATGCTCTAATCAGAGCTCAACAACATCCAGAATTAAAAAATAAACTTAGTCTCCATACCATTTGTGCAATAGACTGCCACCGGAGAAGGGTACCGAAGAGACGAATCTCGTATCGGAGTCAAGTGACATACAACACGTTCCTAACAAAGCGAAAACTCCAGTAGTTTCCCCTGACTAATAGAACAAGCACATAGGTGAATCTTGAGTAAAATATACATCTCTATACATGTAATTACACAATAATCTTCATTTTAAAAATATAGTTGAGAGAATAAATAACTGTTGATGATGTCATCTGATGAGAACGTCGTAATGAGTGATGAAGGAAGACTTTCAGTAAACACCTCTGAAGACATGATCTTGAGGCTCGAAGCATGTCTCGGTGCTTCGAATTAGAGTTATCCGAACCTGGGGAAAAACAAAATAATAATTTTTTAGTAACGAGCTTCCGAACATCACAATAATGATAAATTTAGTCCATTTATTCATGTTCCCCTTTCGTTTACTGTTTATAACGTGTATGTATACGAGGGCCAAAGTGCTATGCAAGAATCTGATTTATGTAAATACAGAAAAAGTATATTTTTTTTTGTTTTTTAATTAACCTGTCATTCTTCTTGTCGGCAGCAGTAATTCAATTCCTTAACATTAAATATGTAATCCCACATGGCTTAATGTTGCATAAACTTTGATCCTATGTGGATTTATTGAGGCATCAACGTCGATCCTATGTGCATATAGTGCTACATCAACGTTCATGCTATGTTAATTTAAGGTCGCATCAACGTTGCTCCTCTGTGGATTTAACGTTGCATCAATGTTGACCCACAGTGGATTTTACGTCGCATCAATGCTGATCCTAGTTGGATTTAACTTAGCATCAACGTTGATCTTACGTGGATTTAATAAAACAACAACGTTTATCCAATTTCGATTTCACTTTACATCAATTTGTGATCCTATGTTGATGTAATAAATATTACTCGACTATATTGCGTTTGTCTTTGGTTAAGGCATTTAGGGATTAGCAATCACAGTGTAGCCAGCCACAAGTGTAAGGGTAACATGCGAGACAACATCACTTCACACCCGAGTCAAACTAAACACACAACTGTGCTACAATTCTCGGGTCCGTTTGGAGGATTAAGTAAGTAAGTAATTATCAAAAGAAGGCACCAAACCGGGAAGGCTATGTAGCACCATCAAGTACGCAAAATAATCAGAGGGCGCTAAATATCACCAAGGATGCCAATACGAGAACAAAAACGCATGAGGCGAACGATATCAAAAGTATCCGAGTCACCAAGAATTCTATCGAGGGACAGGTGACCGCGAGGGGCGGTCGGAAAGCAAGACACACGCTCGTCCTGGAAGTCAGGACATTCAAGAAGGACATGCACGACCGTAAGAGGGATTGGAGGATTAAGCAACCCATCCTTCTGTATAGATTGTTTAAGATTCGCTACCTGGCACAAAAAGTTCCAAGTAGCACGGGCTATGGTGAGCCCGTAGTTCTCTGTATAGATAGTACTTGTGTTACTATAAGGACCCTCGTACAAGGATTACATTACATTGACGTATTGGACAATTAGATGGTGAAATTTTTTGTTATTCACTTTAAAGCGGCCGGAAAAATATGGCTCAAAACCGAACATAAATATTTTTAGGCCTACTATAGTACGTATATGTACTATTTTAGGCCTCAGATACAGTGTATTAGGCCTAGGATGGTTAGGTTAGGGTTTATTTAGCAATATAAATACAAAACCTTTTCCAGTTTGTCCTAATTCAACAGTACCAAATTCTACTTTCAAATTGTCCACATTGTCACTATAAGTACTGTCTAACAGGAGGATGGATTGACAGTAACATGACGAAAACTGCAACAGTTCCTTTGCCCAAATTAATTAAAAAGTAGTTTTGATACGATCTCAAAACTAGCTGTAAGTGGTCTAGTTCTTACGGGCAGTGGAATATCGGTGCCTTCCTGCAACTTGTATATGCAGAAACAGAGTAGTAATAGCCTGAAGAAACTATTAATCTTCTCAAACAGAGAATAGTAAAATTTGAAAACAAAATAAAGAAACGCCATGATTTCTTCTTATGTTAAATTTTACATGAAATTAACTTTAAAATTTAGTTAAAATTTAACTTTCTTCGTAAGTTAAATTTTACACAATTATAGAAACACTTAAATGTTAATACTGTATAAGCCACTTGTCCCAAATCCGGGAAGACTATTACGTCTGTGTCGTGGAATACTGAAAAGATTCTAAAATTTCCTTTGGAACCCAAAACTATAATGTCAAAGGTATTATATACCCTGAGGATTAGACACCCAACTTACAAATGTAAAAATTTTAAATTTGATGATTCAGTCCATTCTGGGTCTTTATCAAGTCATATCATGTCCCATTCAATGGCTTGATATTAGTCCAAGACGGACCGAAACGTCGTCAATTTTTCCTTTCCGGATTTGAGGGTTGAGTGTCTACTCTAGAGCCATGTTACTGTAACTCGTCATCTAGAACCAAAATATTACATGCAGGCGATGAGTCACAATAACGTGGCTGAAGTATGTTGACCAGACCCCACACTAGAAGTTGAAGGGACGACGACGTTTCGGTCCGTCCTGGACCATTCTCAAGTCGATTGAGAATGGTCCAGGACGGACCGAAACGTCATCGTCCCTTCAACTTCTAGTGTGTGGTCTGGTCAAAATATTACATAGTGGGACAAGTGTCTCGGATGGTCTAGCAGCAAGCTAAGTTAATGTTGATATATTACCTCACTCCCAATACAGCACAGGAGGAACTTAATCATCTATTCCATTATGAATCTGAATACTAAATTATTGTCGAATACTAAGTCTAAAATTAATTTGTGCATTTGGTCTGCCTTATTCATAAAAAAATCACATTCCCAAATCTCTTTAAACAAAAAAAAACTATAATTTCACCGAAATTGAGCACTAAATTGGTTATTGGGGAAAATGTTACTTTCCAAATGATTCGTTAAGGCAAGAGTTGGACTGAGCAGTATTTGGGGAGGAGAGATGGGGTGGATCTGAAGGGGGGGGGGTAGTTTACTTGAAGGAGCCAACAAACTACTGACATGCAGTGAGAGTTCCTGAAGGAGGGTGTAGAGACGCCACCATGCACAGCTTCTACGTTGTTGCTCATCTACTAACTTAACATTTATTACAACTAACATACAACATAACTACAACGATGTAGAAACGTGATTATAAAAAAGCGTTGCTGTAACGTTGTAGTTACGTCGCATGTTTGCTGGAGGCTTCCATAGACTCTTTTTCCTAATATTCCGGAGCAAAGTGATAACAGCAGAGTTCCCCTCAGACATCCTAGAAGCTCAGTGAGTGAGGGTCTAACGCAGGCCAAAAGGAATTCGTTTAAGGGTATGAATGTTTAAGCGCGGTGTTGTGTAACATGCAAATATAGAGGTCAGGCATGCAACTAAGTCACATTTAATCCACTTCGCATGCTGCAGATCTGGCAAACTATGCCCATCTACCTAAACAATAAGCACAATAAAAGAAAAAAAAATTGTATTACATGTTAATGGAGAAAAAAAAAAGTTAGCACCTGAGCAGAGGCGTAAATGAAATCTGGCGGGTGAACTCCGTAGACTTGTGACGGGGTCGACGGAGGGAGGAGGGGAGAGTGTTCAGGTGGACGGCTTGCCCGGGCCACTCCCTCGCCTACTGCTCTCCTTGGTCTTCGACCCGGTGAACCACCCACTTCCAAATACCTTGCCCAACAGGCCGCTACCACTACCACAGAAAATGGGCACACATCAGTATGAGAAGCAGAGGTGAAGCAGAGAGCCCAAGATACACTCACACACTCACACTCACACTCTCTCACACACACACACACACACACACACACACACACACACACACACACACACACACACACACACACACACACACACACACACAGCGTAACGACAATGCTGTTTTACATTGCTGCAACACAACAACGCTGTTCTACATTGTACAACACAACTACAATGCTGTTTTACATTGCTGCAGTGTAACTACAATGATGTTTTATGTTGTGTTACTGTAACAATGTGAAACATTCTTGTGGTGTTCAGTGTGGCAGGGCGGAGGAATGCACCACCACCACCACCTCCAGTGCAATCAACTTCTATTCTAACGAAAATCTTCATAGCTTCTATATCAAAACTATCAACACATCTAACTATACAAGCCTCCATTTTGCAGTAGAAGTATTTAAAAAAAATGAAAAAGAAGGGAATGCATGAACGCAGATGGCCGGGTATTGATGGGTCTTTGTCCTGGGCCTACCTGGGTACGCATACATGCCCACATCAAAATATATATAGTGGATTGCACCACTTTTGGGCACTGCATCATGAACTCTGCTGTTACTCCTGCCCCAATGTCTACTCTACAACCTTGCCCATGCCCAAGTGCAGGGGCAAGGTTGTATTTGAGTAATTCTGCCCCATGCCCAAGTGCAGGGGCAAGGTTGTATTTGAGTAATTCTGCCCCATGCCCAAGTGCAGGGGCAAGGTTGTATTTGAGTAATTCTGCCCCATGCCCAAGTGCAGGGGCAAGGTTGTATTTGAGTAATTCTGCCCCATGCCCAAGTGCAGGGGCAAGGTTGTATTTGAGTAATTCTGCCCCATGCCCAAGTGCAGGGGCAAGGTTGTATTTGAGTAATTCTGCCCCATGCCCAAGTGCAGGGGCAAGGTTGTATTTGAGTAATTCTGCCCCATGCCCAAGTGCAGGGGCAAGGTTGTATTTGAGTAATTCTGCCCCATGCCCAAGTGCAGGGGCAAGGTTGTATTTGAGTAATTCTGCCCCATGCCCAAGTGCAGGGGCAAGGTTGTATTTGAGTAATTCTGCCCCATGCCCAAGTGCAGGGGCAGAATTACTCAACCTAGGCTGATCAACGCCACAGCAATGTCAGAGGAGAGATATTTGAAGAATAGGAAGAACACCGCAAGGGACACCACGCTATATTTAAACCAAAAGTCAAGAAGTAAGAAATATTACATTTAATATTCTTTGGAGCCTGTGTATTATTCATTGTGAATAATATATCAAATATTTCCATCAGAAGAGAAGCCATCACTTTAAAGCGGCCGGAAAAATAAGGCTCAAAACCGAACATAAATATTCTTAGGCCTACTATAGTACGTATATGTACTATTTTAGGCCTCAGATACAGTGTAATATGCCTAGGATGGTTAGGTTAGGGTTTATTAGCAACATAAATACAAAACCTTTTCCAGTTTGACCAAATTCTACTTTCAAATTTCAAAATTCGACTTTCAAAATGGTAGCGGCCATTTTGAAGCTGCTTCACACTAAGTTACTTTGCTAACTACTGTGCTTAGCTAACTACTATGCTTTGCTAACTACTATGACATACTAGAGTGAACAGTTAGAAGAAGACCAAAGAGTTCACACCACCCATACACCAAGTTCCTCTTAGAGAACAGGGGTTATACACCATGCATTCATTCTATATCAGATCAGATCTATATCAGGGTTATTCATTCTACATCAGATCTATAGCTCAGAATAGTGAATTGCTGTACCATGCATATTACACTATGTATGTTTATATACGTATACATATATGTATAAATATACCCAGCTTTTGTCACCTACGGACCTATTAAATGTCCTATAAACACTGAAATACATCAATAGAATTTTTCCTCTAACCTTACTAACTATACGGGTCAATATTATATATATATATATATATATATATATATATATATATATATATATATATATATATATATATATATATCAGCTTATAAAGAATATATATATATAAAGATATATATATATATATATATATATATATATATATATATATATATATATATATATATATATATATATATATATCAGCTTATAAAGGTTAATGAGGAGTATGTCAGAGGTTCAACAAGGTTGTTGTGAGCTTAAAGAGGAAGAGCTTATTTACCCTGACTTTTGAGCGTCGTCTTGGCTGTCGAGAGACGCCCCCACGGACTCGGAGAGACTGAGTCTGTCTTGGGAGTTGGTGGAGCCGTGGGAGCTGCTAGAGTCGTGTGAGGAGGCGAGGGAGGTCTGAGAGGTGGTGCAGCTGGCGGCGACGACGCCCTCAGCATCCTTCACTCTGGTCAGGTCCTCCTCCAGCGAGGCGATGACTTCCTCTCTCAGCGTCAAGGCCGACTTGGTCGCTTCCAGTTCCTCGCGGTACTGTTGAGGGAGAGGTAGTGTTGGGGGAGGGAGTTTAGCATGTGTCTTGAGGTTATCTTGAGATGATTTCGGGGCTTTAGTGTCCCCGCAGCCCGATCCTCGACCAGGCCTCCACCCCCAGGAAGCAGCCCGTGACAGCTGACTAGCACCCAGGTACCTATTTTACTGCTAGGTAACAGGGGCATAGGGTCAAAGAAACTCTGCTCATTGTTTCTCGCCGGCGCCCGGGATCGAACCCGGGACCACAGGATCACAGGTCCAGCGTGCTGTCCGCTCGGCCCACCGGCTCCAAAGCAATGTGTGGTCAGGCTGTTGCTGTGTGCATCACACACATACACATACACATAGTTAGTAAATGGAATGCATTAGGCAGTGATGTGGTGGAGGCTGACTCCATACACAGTTTCAAATGTAGATATGATAGAGCCCAATAGGCTCAGGAACCTGTACACCAGTTGATTGACAGTTGAGAGGCGGGACCAAAGAGCCAGAGCTCAACCCCCGCAAGCACAACTAGGTGAATACACACACACACACACACACCCACATACACACCCAACCACCACAATGGTGTTGAACACGCCATGGTCGTGGAAAACTGGGTGAGTGAGTAATTATCGTGGAGGCCGCGGGCGCCTGGGAACGAGGCAATTAGCGAGCCTCCCTCAGGGAACCACCACCTACAAAGCACTTAACACACAATGAAGAGGCCACGTGGGGAATGACCTGCGAATATTTCATTTCTTGTGGTAATTCACCAAGCAGTTGTGACGCTGCGTCATGCGTACACATCGACGTGCTTCTTGCGTCACCAGAGCCTATCATTCCTGGCCTAGTCAACCACCTCACTGAACCACCTCGTTTGTGTACGGTGGTGAGAGACGATAACGTCAAAAATGTGCTGCATTAAGAGGACAGATAGTAGTTGTGAACACTGAACCTGTCCTCCCACTTGAAGCCACTTGTGAAGAATGAACAGTGAGCCGGGCTCACCATAGCCCGTGCTACTTGAGGCGTTTTGTTCAAGGTAGCAAATCTTAAACAACAAGTGAGCCGGTGGCTGAGTGGACAGAACACTAGACGCGTGATCCTTGTGGTCCCGGGTTCGATCCCGGGGCGCCGGAGAGAAACAATGGACAGAGTTTCTTTCACCCTGATGCCCCTGTTACCTAGCAGTAAAATAGGTACCTGGGAGTTATAGTCAGCTGTCACGGGCTGCTTCCTGGGGGATGGAGGCTTGGTCGAGGACCGGGCCGCGGGGACACTAGCCCCGAAATCATCTCAAGAATACGACCACTAGTCTGGTTAGACCAACACCACCACCAATTAGACCCTTGTCAGAGCGTGACGTAATTAACTCTTAAATAATCAGTATCAACAAGTTGCTAATTAGGTCCTAATTGAATATATTTATTGATGACGTCATTAAAACGTTCAACGAACGTTTTACAACTACAACGAACATCAATTTAGAATAAATTTAGAAAATTTTGAATTTAGAATACGTCAAATATACTTAAACGTCAACGCACAACGCAAATATACCGTTATTTTTTTAGCGTTGTTACGACGTAATGACGCCATTGGCCAGCGGGGACAGTGTCTAAAGGGTAACGGCCGTTCCCCCGTTATCAAGGCTGAGTTACCGTTACTGCTGGCCATTGTCCACCACCACTGGCAATGTAATAACGTCGTTACAACGTAATTGCGTCGTTATAATGGAATTCCGTCGCTAAAACGTCGACGTTCCTTGGAATTTTAATCGCGGGTCAAGTGAGGTGTCTGAAGTGTAATTTAATTGGTGTAGTTAGCCCCTGACTTGACTGTTGTAGCCCCTGACCTGACTGTTGTAGTCCCTGACTTGACTGTTGTAGCCCCTGACCTGACTGTTGTAGCCCCTGACCTGACTGTTGTAGCCCCTGACTTGACTGTTGTAGCCCCTGACCTGACTGTTGTAGCCCCTGACCTGACTGTTGTAGCCCCTGACCTGACTGTTGTAGCCCCTGACTTGACTGTTGTAGCCCCTGACTTGACTGTTGTAGCCCCTGACCTGACTGTTGTAGTCCCTGACCTGACTGTTATAGCCCCTGACCTGACTGTTATAGCCCCTGACCTGACTGTTGTAGCCCCTGACCTGACTGTTGTAGTCCCTGACCTGACTGTTATAGCCCCTGACCTGACTGTTATAGCCCCTGACCTGACTGTTGTAGCCCCTGACCTGACTGTTGTAGCCCCTGACCTGACTGGTGTAGTCCCTGACCTGACTGTTGTAGTCCCTGACCTGACTGTTGTAGCCCCTGACCTGACTGTTGTAGCCCCTGACCTGACTGTTGTAGCCCCTGACCTGACTGTTGTAGCCCCTGACCTGACTGTTGTAGTCCCTGACCTGACTGTTGTAGCCCCTGACCTGACTGTTGTAGCCCCTGACCCGACTGTTGTAGCCCCTGACCCGACTGTTGTAGCTCCTGACCTGACTGTTGTAGTCCCTGACCTGACTGTTGTAGTCCCTGACCTGACTGTTGTAGCCCCTGACCTGACTGTTGTAGCCCCTGACCTGACTGTTGTAGTCCCTGACCTGACTGTTGTAGCCCCTGACCTGACTGTTGTAGCCCCTGATCTGACTGTTGTAGCCCCTGATCTGACTGTTGTAGTCCCTGACCTGACTGTTGTAGTCCCTGACCTGACTGTTGTAGCCCCTGACCTGACTGTTGTAGCCCCCTGACCTGACTGTTGTAGCCCCTGACCTGACTGGTGTAGACCCTGACCTGACTGTTGTAGCCCCTGACCTGACTGTTGTAGTCCCTGACCTGACTGTTGTAGCCCCTGACCTGACTGGTGTAGTCCCTGACCTGACTGTTGTAGCCCCTGACCTGACTGGTGTAGTCCCTGACCTGACTGGTGTAGTCCCTGACCTGACTGTTGTAGTCCCTGACCTGACTGTTGTAGCCCCTGACCTGACTGTTGTAGCCCCTGACCTGACTGTTGTAGCCCCTGACCTGACTGTTGTAGCCCCTGACCTGACTGTTGTAGTCCCTGACCTGACTGTTGTAGCCCCTGACCTGACTGTTGTAGCCCCTGACCCGACTGTTGTAGCCCCTGACCCGACTGTTGTAGCTCCTGACCTGACTGTTGTAGTCCCTGACCTGACTGTTGTAGCCCCTGACCTGACTGTTGTAGCCCCTGACCTGACTGTTGTAGCCCCTGACCTGACTGTTGTAGTCCCTGACCTGACTGTTGTAGCCCCTGACCTGACTGTTGTAGCCCCTGATCTGACTGTTGTAGCCCCTGATCTGACTGTTGTAGTCCCTGACCTGACTGTTGTAGTCCCTGACCTGACTGTTGTAGCCCCTGACCTGACTGTTGTAGCCCCCTGACCTGACTGTTGTAGCCCCTGACCTGACTGGTGTAGCCCCTGACCTGATTGTTGTAGCCCCTGACCTGACTGTTGTAGCCCCTGACCTGACTGTTGTAGCCCCTGACCTGACTGTTGTAGCCCCTGACCTGACTGTTGTAGTCCCTGACCTGACTGTTGTAGCCCCCTGACCTGACTGTTGTAGCCCCTGACCTGACTGTTATAGCCCCTGACCTGACTGTTATAGCCCCTGACCTGACTGTTATAGCCCCTGACCTGATTGTTGGCGGTGAGGGCCTCGGCCAGCTGCTCCCTGAGGGTAGTGTTGACGTACTCCAAGTGCTTGGAGACAATCACTCGAGCCTCCTCCACCGCTTGGAACTTCTCAGCTTCCAGCTCCTCTCTCAGCCGCTCTGTGGGAGGGGGAGTCCAGGTGATTATTGTGGGAGAGGCACCCTGGGAGGCTACTCCCAAGGGGCACCCTGGGAGGCTACTCCCAGGGGGCACCCTTAGGATTGGGAGGAGGATCAGGAGGTTCTATTGTCGCTACGATCCCCCTGATATTGTAACTAGGAAGGTGGCCCTAATACATAGTCTGTAAATCCCAAACTTACTAACGAAGTAAAGAAGTTAGTAAAGTTATTTTCATTAATAGGTTTTGTTTACAAACACACGATTATTCTATTGCTTTCTGTGTGCACCTGCCTCTCTCTCTCTCTCTCTCTCTCTCTCTCTCTCTCTCTCTCTCTCTGGATCTATCTATCACCCTTACATGTACATAAGAGATCAAACAGAGAGGGGTATATGTGTGTCACACACACACACACACACACACACACACACACACACAAACACACACACACACACACAAATGCAAGGAGGCTGAAGAGAGATTTAGTCCAAAAGTAAAGGAAAAAAGCAGGAGGGAATATAATAACCCATGGTTTAATAGACAGTGTCAGGAAGTAAAAGTGAGAAGCAGGAGGGAGTGGAGGAAGTACAGAAGACAAAGGACAGAGGACAACAGGATTAGATACAACAGAGCTAGGAACGATTACATTAACATAAGACGAGTATCGGAAAGGGACTATGAGAACGATATTGCAATCAAAGCGAAAAAACAACCTAAGTTACTACACAGTCATATAAGAAGAAAAATGTCGGTGAACGACCAAGTGACAAGACTAAGGAAGACAGAGGGGGCATATACTGAAAGTGACAAGGAAATCTGCGAGGCACTGAATGCCAGTTTCCATGGAGCCTGAGTTTCCACTACCGAGCCTGAGCAGCTCCCATTGTTGGAAGGGGTTACCCTAGATGAAAGACTATCAGATATAGAGGTGACAGCAGAGGAGGTAATGAAACAGTTGACAACTCTAGATGCAACTAAAGCGGTTGGACCAGATAAAGTATCATTGTGGATACTAAAAGAGGCAGCGCAGGCCCTCAGCGTGCCTCTGGCAAGGATCTTTAATGAGTCGCTTATGTCGGGAGAATTGCCCAGTTGCTGGAAGAAGGCAAATGTCGTACCGATCTTCAAGAAAGGAGATAGGGAGGAGGCACTTAACTATAGACCCGTATCACTGACAAGCATCCCCTGGAAAATACTTGAAAGAATAATTAGGCTACGACTGGTTGTACACCTGGAGAGCATTGGTTTGTTTGTAAACAAGCACCAACATGGTTCTGGACAGGGAAATTATGCCAAATAAACCTTTTGGAACTCTACGATAAAATAACGAGGATAAGGCAGGACAGCGAAGGTTGGGCAGACTGCGTATTTCTAGACTGCCAAAAGGCCTTTGATACACTACCGCACATGAGCCTGCTATTCAAACTTGAGAGGCAGGTAGGAGTAAGTGGAAAGGCTCTAGCATGGGTAAGAAACTTTCTAACAGGGAAGGAGCCAGAGAGTAATGGTAAGGGGCGAGAAGTCGGACTGGCGAACAGCAACGAGCGGATTACCTCAAGGATCGGTGCTGGGACCCATTCTATTTCTAATTTATATTTATGTTTACAGGAATAGAATCCTACATGTCAATGTTCGCGGATGACGCAAAATTAATGAGAAGAGTTGTTACAGATGAGGATTGTAGGATCCTCCAAGAGGACCTGGACAGATTGCAGAGATGGTCAAAGAAATGGCTACCGGAGTTCAACACGAGCAAATGTAATGTTATGGAAATGGGACTAGGTGATAGGAGACCAAAGGGACAGTACACAATGAAGGGGAACAGCCTACCTGTGACGACGCGAGAAAGAGACCTGGGGGTGGACGTAACACCTAATCTATCTCCTGAGGCACATATAAATAGGATAACGACAGCAGCGTACTCTACACTGGCAAAAGTTAGAACATCATTCAGAAACCTAAGTAAGGAGGCATTTAGGGCGCTTTACACTGCCTACGTGAGGCCAGTCTTAGAGTATGCCGCCTCATCATGGAGTCCCCACCTGAAGAAACACAAAGAAACTGGAAAAGGTTCAGAAGTTTGCGACGAGGCTTGTCCCAGAGTTACCAGGGATGGGGTATGAAGAGCGCCTGAAGGAACTGAACCTTACGACACTAGAAAAAAGAAGGGAGAGGGGGGACATGATAGGAACGTATAAAATACTCAGGGGAATTGACAAAGTGGAAATAGATGAAATGTTCACACGTAATAGTAACAGAACGAGGGGACATGAGTGGAAGCTGGAAACTCAGATGAGTCACAGAGATGTTAGAAAGTTTTCTTTTAGCGTGAGAGTAGTGGAAAAATGGAATGCACTTGGGGAACAGGTTGTGGAAGCAAACTCTATTCGTAATTTTAAAACTAGGTATGATAGGGAAATGGGACAGGAGTCATTGCTGTAAACAACCGATGACTCGAAAGGCGGGATCGAAGAATCAATGCTCGATCCTGCAGGCACAAATAGGTGAGTACACACACAATCTCTCTCACACACACACACACACACAGCTAACGTAGTCCCGATATACAAGAAAGGGGATAGACAGGAGGCACTGAATTACAGGCCAGTGTCCCTAACCTGCATACCATGCAAGCTGATGGAGAAGATTGTGCGAAGAAAGCTAGTGGAGCATCTTGAGCGAAAGAACTTTGTAACACAGCATCAACATGGGTTCAGGGATGGCAGGTCCTGCCTCATAGGGTTACTTGAATTCTACGACCAGGCAACAAAAATAAGGCAAGAAAGAGAAGGGTGGGCAGACTGCATATTTTTGGACTGTCAGAAAGCCTTTGATACAGTGCCACACAAGAGGCTAGTGAAAAAGCTGGAGATTCAGGCCGGTGTGAAAGGGAAGGTACTCCGTTGGATAAAGGAGTACCAAAGTAACAGGAGACAACGAGTCAGTGTGAGGGGTGAGGTCTCAGATTGGCGAGACGTTACGAGTGGAGTCCCGCAGGGGTCAGTCCTTCGACCTATACTGTTTCTGATATATGTAAATGATCTTCCAGAGGGTATAGAATAGTTTCTCTCAATGTTTGCCGATGATGCAAAAATTATGAGGATTGAAACAGAGGATGATAGTAGGCTACAAGATGACCTAGACTGACTGAGTGAATGGTCCAATAAATGGCTGTTGAAGTTCAACCCGAGTAAAAGTAAAGTAATGAAACTAGGCAGTGGCAACAGGAGGCCAGACACAGGATACAGAATAGGAGATGAAGTACTTAATGAAACCGACAGAGAGAAAGATCTAGGAGTTGATATCACACCAAACCTGTCTCCTGAAGCCCACATAAAAAGAATAACGTCTGCGGCATATGCGAGGCTGGCTAACATCAGAACAGCCTTCAGGAACCTGTGTAAGGAATCATTCAGAACCTTGCACACCACATATGTAAGACCAATCATTGAGTATGCGGCCCCAGCATGGAGCCCGTACCTTGTCAAGCACAAGACGAAGCTGGAAAAAGTCCAAAGGTATGCCACTAGGTTAGTCCCAGAACTAAGAGGCATGAGTTACGAGGAAAGGCTGCGGGAAATGCACCTTACGACACTGGAAGACAAAAGAATAAGGGGAGACATGATCACAACCTACAAAATCCTCAGAGGAATCGACCGGGTAAACAAGGATAAACTATTCAACACCGGCGGTACGCGAACAAGGAGACACAGGTGGAAACTGAGTACCCACATGAGCCACAGAGACGTCAGAAGGAACTTTTTCAGTGTCAGAGTAGTTAACAGGTGGAATGCATTAGGCAGTGATGTGGTGGAGGCTGACTCCATACACAGTTTCAAGTGTAGATATGATAGAGCCCAATAGGCTCAGGAATCTCTACACCAGTTGATTGACAATTGAGAGGCGGAACCAAAGAGCCAGAGCTCAACCCCGCAAGCACAAATAGGTGAGTACACACCCCCCCCCCCACACACACACACCACACACCACACACACACACACCCCCCACACACACCCCACACACACACACACACACACACACACACACACACACACACACAGACACCCTTCCCTCCCCACCCCCACACACACCCCCTGCCACACACACACACATCCACACACACACACCCCACACACACACACCCCACACACACACACCCCACACACACACACCCCACACACACACACACACACAGAGTAGGCAGTAGGACGGCGGTCAGTGAACAAGGGTAGGACGTGCAGTCCGCGAATTACCTCAATATTCTCGGGATATTTACGTACCAGTGAGCCCAAAACATAGTTTTTGGGCATATGAAAGGTACAGCAACGCAGTGATAACGCAACATAGTGAATTCTTATAACGTTTGATAAGAAAAAAAATTGAAAGAACGAGATTGTGGCAAGACGGTGGCACCAGAGGCCGCGAAGGGAAGAGTTTTGGACCACGACGTGGGAGGACCTCTGGCGGGGACGTCAACAACAATATCGGACATCGCTTCATAAATCACCTAATTGTGCTGTGGGATGCTTACTCGGAGGTGAGTGCCTCTCAAAGTCAGTCATATAAGGTGTACAGTGTTTTTTTTTTTTTTATATAGTAATTAGCTTTGAACATAAGTAATTAAAATACGAAAAAGTAGCTCAAGAGCCTCAGCTTGGTACCAGCTTCTCACACCTGTGTGTGACATTACACCGCCACTGACTAGACCTACCCCCCCCCCTCCTCCTCACCACAACAAGCCAGTGTAAACACACACACATGCACGCACGCACACACTGGTGACCGCTCACCCTCACTCACCCACCCTCACCCCTCACGTTCCCACGCCTTACAGTACCCCAAGACACCCCCCTACCCCTCCCCCTATACACAAACACCCCCGCACTCAACACACACACACACACACACACACACACACATACAAACACACACACATACAAACACACACACACACACACACACACACACACACACACACACACACACACGCACACGC